TAATAATAGTAACATATATAAAACTCATATATAATATATAGTACTAATTACAAATAAGTAATATAATGTACATATATATTTAAAAAAAATAAAAAAGATAGTAACTAAATATTAATTGTTCATAATAAAAAAAACACTCATCAATCTCATTCATTATCTAACTAACACATATATATTATATATTCTACCTAGATTCCATCAAATGTCACAAAAAAAGCCCACATGTCGCGAATTTCATCAACTTCTTCCCTTGTCAAAGGGCCTTCCCTTTGAATCTTACAAACCTTTGGAAAGAAAAAAATACCAAACATTAAACATCATTCATATATTACATAAAATTCAAACTTATAATTAAAAAAAAATAATGTATATGTTAAATATTTCAAACATCATTCTAACTTGCCCGATTTAGCATTCTACTAAGTTTTAGGACGACTTTTACCCAAAATCGCCTATTTGACTTCTAACTTGCCCAATTTCTACATTTCTTATCTAATGAACTATTTCTTTATCATAACATGTCAATTATAACTAGTCTTAGGTGTCTAATGTTTGAAATCATAGCAAATTACCATTCTACTAAGTTTTAGGACGACTTTTACCCAAAATCGCCTATTCCACTACTACTTTGCCCGATTTCTACATTTCTTATCTAATGAGCTATTTCTTTATCATAACATGTCAATTATAACTAGTTTTAGGTGTTTAATGTTTGAAATCATAGTATTAGCATTCTACTAAGTTTTAGGACGACTTTTACCCAAAATCACCTATTTCACTACTACTTTGCCCGATTTCTACATTTCTTATCTAATGACCTATTTCTTTATTATAACATGTCAATTATAACTAGTCTTAGGTGTCTAATGTTTGAAATCATAGCAAATTAGCCTTCTTCTAAGTTTTAGGACGACTTTTACCCAAAATCGCCTATTTCACTACTACTTTGCCCGATTTCTACATTTCTTACCTAATGACCTATTTCTTTATTATAAAATGTCAATTATAACTAGTCTTAGGTGTCTAATGTTTGAAATCATAGCAAGTTAGCATTCTACTAAGTTTTAGGACGGCTTTTACCCAAAATCGCCTATTTCACTACTACTTTGCCCGATTTCTACATTTCTTATCTAATGAGCTATTTCTTTATCATAACTTATCATTATTAAATAGTCTTAGGTGTCTATTGTTTTAAATCATAGCAAAAGATCATTTTACTCAGTTTTAGGACGACTTTTACCCAAAATCGCCTATTCCACTTCTACTTGCCCATTTTTTACATTTTATTTCATTTTAATTTTTTTTCTCAAACCATGCCCATAATACCTAGTCTTAGGCATGTAATTTATGATATCACATCAAATGAGAACCCAACTAAGTTTTAGTACGATTTTTAACAAAAATCGGCGTAAGTGACTTATTTAGCTTATACACTAACAAGTACGCAAAAATTACACAAAATAGCATGAGGGGACATGAATAGGTCAATAAATTACTCCCCGGGCTGCTTTCCATGACTTTTGGAGCGGCTCGGTTGCTTGCACGGCTGCTGCAGCTGCCTTGGCTGCTGCAGCTGCCTTGGCAGCAGCCTGGTGGCTGGTGCAGCTGCCTGGTGGCTGCTGCAGCTGCCAGGTAACTGCTGCGGCTGCCTGGCAGCTGCTGCAGTTGCCTGGTGGCTGCTTGCAGCTGCCTGGCATAACCCGAGGCTGTTGCCTCGGGTGCTGTAGTTGCCTCGGGTGCTCACTTTCCATTTTCTGCATTTTGTATCAAATGAACTAATTTGTCCTTAGAGCAGACCCATATTAACGAGTCTTGGGTGTCTAAGGTCTGTAATCGCATCAGAAGAAGTAGTATTTGGACGGCTTTTACCCAAAATCGCGTATTTGACTTCTAACTTGCCCGATATCTACATTTCTTATCTAATGAACTATTTCTTAATCATAACATGTCAATTATAACTAGTGTTAGGTGTCTAATGTTTGAAATCATTGCAAATTAGCATTCTACTAAGTTTTAGGACGACTTTTACCCAAAATCGCCTATTTCACTACTACTTTGCCCGATTTCTACATTTCTTACCTAATGAGCTATTTCTTTATCATAACATGTCAATTATAACTAGTCTTAGGTGTATAATGTTTGAAATCATAGCAAATTAACATTCTACTAAGTTTTAGGACGGCTTTTACCCAAAATCGCCTATTTCACTACTACTTTGCCCGATTTCTATATTTCTTACCTAATGACCTATTTCTTTATCATAACATGTCAATTATAACTAGTGTTAGGTGTCTAATGTTGGAAATCATTGCAAATTAGCATTCTACTAAGTTTTAGGACGACTTTTACCCAAAATCGCCTATTTCACTACTACTTTGCCCGATTTCAACATTTCTTACCTAATGAGCTATTTCTTTATCATAACATGTCAATTATAACTAGTCTTAGGTGTATAATGTTTGAAATCATAGCAAATTAGCATTCTACTAAGTTTTAGGACGACTTTTACCCAAAATCGCCTATTTCACTACTACTTTGCCCGATTTCTACATTTCTTACCTAATGACCTATTTCTTTATCATAACATGTCAATTATAACTAGTGTTAGGTGTCTAATTTTTGAAATCATTTCAAATTAGCATTCTACTAAGTTTTAGGACGACTTTTACCCAAATCGCCTATTTCACTACTACTTTGCCCGATTTCTACATTTCTTACCTAATGAGATATTTATTTATCATAACATGTAAATTATAACTAGCCTTAGGTTTGTAATGTTTGAAATCATAGCAAATTAGCATTCTACTAAGTTTTAGGACGGCTTTTACCCAAAATCGCCTATTTCACTACTACTTTGCCCGATTTTTACATTTCTTACCTAATGACCTATTTCTTTATCATAACATGTCAATTATAACTAGTGTTAGGTGTTTAATGTTTGAAATCATTGCAAATTAGCATTCTACTTAGTTTTAGGACGACTTTTACCCAAAATCGCCTATTTCACTACTACTTTGCCCGATTTCAACATTTCTTACCTAATGAGCTATTTCTTTATCATAACATGTCAATTATAACTAGTCTTAGGTGTATAATGTTTGAAATCATAGCAAATTAGCATTCTACTAAGTTTTAGGACGACTTTTACCCAAAATCGCCTATTTCACTACTACTTTGCCCGATTTTTACATTTCTTACCTAATGACCTATTTCTTTATCATAACATGTCAATTATAACTAGTGTTAGGTGTCTAATGTTTGAAATCATTGCAAATTAGCATTCTACTTAGTTTTAGGACGACTTTTACCCAAAATCGCCTATTTCACTACTACTTTGCTCGATTTCTACATTTCTTACCTAATGACCTATTTCTTTATCATAACATGTCAATTATAACTATTCTTAGGTGTCTAATGTTTGAAATCATAGCAAATTAGTCTTCTTCTAAGTTTTAGGACAGATTTTACCCAAAATCGAACCGAAAAAAAGTAAAAACAAGTACCTCCTCAATGTGTTGGGCTTCAGTGCACCTATTGACTATGTCATGCATAAACCTCATCACGTACAGGGCACAATCAACGCCGTTGTCTTGTTGCGCACACTAACATGACACAAAGTTAAAATAGTCATGTATAGCCATAACTCAAGGCAATTTAATTAAATAAATCAATATATCAAGGCTTTACCTTCGAATATTTCCACGTGGGACCCGCAACCGAACGACAATTCAACTTCTTCATAACACTTCAAAAAAATAAAAAACAAAAAATTTAGGAACATAGCCACTCAATCACTTAGGTGATGATACAAAACAATATATAGGAAGCGGTATGTACCTATTCAATAGGTTACTCACTAGCAACTTCCTTGGTGGCCATATATGAGCCGAGTCAAAGTAGTAGATTGTGTTATTGGAAACACAAATCACCACAAGGCTCCAATGTAGACTACATATATATATTAAAGCAAATATCAATCCATCAAGCTTATGCGTCAACATCTATACTTAACAAACAAATTAAGAGTGACATATTTAAACTTACTCCTAAAATCAAGGGGCTAATATGAACTTGTTTCCCGCACGCATTGATTCTCTAATACCCCGCTCAAGGTAATCTATCACATCACGAGGGTTATGCAAGCATTTGGTTACGGAGGTCTTCTCGGGGCATAACCGCCCAACTGCTGCTTCACTATCTGGTTTACTACTTAGGAGCTCCTGTAGTGACCTTCAAGAAAGTAATGTGTGCAAGTAATTACTAGTTTCATTGTTTTCGTTCGAAAATATCAAAAATACAATATGTTTAGAAATAGTCTCGTTAATTTACCTCATGAAAGTTTGAATGATGGAAATGTTAAGCATGGAACCGGTTAGAAATTCCGTCACATCCTCTCTAGAAATGTATGCGATTGCATCCTCATCATAGTGGAACAATGCCTTAGGCAAGTTCACTTGAATATGTGTACCCGTAGGCAACTCACTAACACGGTTGTGAAGAAAAGTACATGCTTTCAAAAGCGACTTAAGGACATTGGCTTCTACCAGTGGAGTACATGAAGCTCTCGAACTCTTCTTCGACACTTGTCCTTGTTCCATCTTCGGAGGACCTTCTTCCTTGGATTTTGGCTTCTCCACCTTCTTCCTTTTAGCGGACTGCTTTTCCATAGTAATCTAGTAACATAAAAGAACATGGTCATTGCACAAAGCACATGTTAATCTAGTTACATACAAGTAGTTACATACAAGTAGTGTTTACTTACCCCTCCTACCAACCTCAACCTATCACGTGGCCATTGCACAAAGCTCCCGGTCGCGTCACGCAGCTTAAAAAAATCATATTCCTCTCTAGGCACCGGTAGTGGTAAGTCCTCAAACCCAGCAACTATAGAATCGATCCCGACCGAGATGTAATGGGTGCTAGTATTAGACTTAAAATGGACCTTGTCAAAAGGTTGTCCACTACCATACCCCACCAACTGCAACTGTCCACCAATGTTTTCCCCGAGGTGAAGAAGCTCACAAGGCGTCTCTTCCTACATATTTGATTAGGAGTTAGGACATAAGTTATGAAATAACAAACGAAAGCCTAACATAAGAAAAGCTGATTACGTAGTGAAGTTTACCTTAACATCTGGGAAAGGTTCAGGCATCGAATTTTCTCTCTTCAATGACTCTGCATCCATAGGACTAGGATCCTGCAAAAGTAAAATGATTAAACATGCAAACAACATCATTTAATGAACTTCATATGACGTATTCGTCCTTGTACTAAAATTACCTCTCTCTCTCAACTACTGGATCGTCCTCGGGGCCTCCTAGGTGACTACATGAGTCTATTGGGGTACTCAAGGGAAATGGCAAAAGCGGCAAGTTCATGTGCTTCAGAATGGCATTGAATTGACTTTGCATCTGTTCTTGCAGCTCCGTGCGTATCTCCGCCTTAATTGATTCCTTTTCCTTCTCATCAATCCGATGTGGCAAATTAACACTTGATCTGCTTTTTCCTGATTTGGTGTATTCTGAACCCATCACCTTCTCCCACCCTAGTTGTTTCCCGCCAAAACCAATTACTCGCCCAGGGTGGTATGGTTTTCCCAAAGCTAAGGTGAAAGGATCATTTTCGATGCTTGGAGTCAGCTTGCCTTCAATCACTTCCGAAGTATGCTCGAGCTGTAACAACACAAAAATTTATCAGTTCTAAGTACAATGTACTTGACAAGGAAATATAATTAATAAGTAGGAAAGTTTGCTTACAAGTGCATCTGCTATTACTTTCTTATCCGGTTGCATGACATACTTGCCAGTTTTCTTGTCCATCCCATGCATAGCACACCACCAGTCAATTGCACGATTAACCAAAGTTGTGACCGTGGAAGAAAGTGGTTTATCTGATGATGACATTATGGATTTTGGGTACAGACCCGCTTTTGACCCACTTTGGTCTAGACTCCGCAAATGTCTTACAACCCATATGATGGCTATACAATTTCTTTCCGGCATTGATTCTAGCTTGTTCGCTTTTTTCCTACACATTCAGAAATATATGTTAGCATCAGTCATTGTAAGAAACTAAATATCAGTAGCCGACTCTATTGATAAATAACTACATACAAGTGCGGTACTAGTGGAAGATTTTTCCACAAACTTCTCCCAATCCTTGACCGTTATTTGTGGATATAAATCCCACAGTTTCTTATCAGGTTTCTCCTCTTCTCCATCAGCAGGCACATTTTTCTTTGGTCTTCTCCTTCTTTTCTTATGGATCCATCTCGTCCTCAAGTAACTCTTGAAGTTTTTGAATCTCTCTTGTACAAAAGCTTCAAAAACTTTTCTCTTGGCCGGCTCATCAGGAATATGGAACATACTCTGTAATTGGCGCAGACATCTACGTTAGGCAAGAGAAAAAAAAAGGAAAAAAAAAACCCGGGAATTGGGGCAGCACCCAGGCCGCAGCCCGAGCAGCTGCAGCAGCCCAGGCTACTGCCCAGGCTGCTGCCCAAGCAGCTGCAGCAGCCCCGGGCAGCTGCCGGTTGCAGCCCCTCGGGTTAGGCCCGGGGGTTGTTTTTGCAAAAAAAAATTATTTTTTTTTTTGAACATGTATATTAATTAAACATAAAAGTGTGATTGGTATTAATTAATCATATATATTAATTAAAAATAAAAGTGTGATTGGTATTAATTAATAATATATTAATCACTATATTAAACCCCGTGCAATGCACGATTGTTAGATAATTCTAATGACAATAAATTTTACCAAAAATAATGGATATAAATATTATAAATAGACTTAGTACGTAGTTAAAAGTATGAAATATTATAAATAATTTTAATGATACTTACCATTGTATCGTCCCAAAATGTTTGAAGCAACCCGTAAGGTATCTCGGCAAACTCAAGTGTGATTGGTATTTTACGAGTAAGAATGCCAACTTCACTAGAAAATTTGTCGCGCCATTGGCCAATAGGTTGACCTAACTCATCAAACTCAAGCACCATAGGAACGCCGAGTTTCTTGAAAGCTTTTGTTGCACCCCTACTCCTTCTGTTTACCGGTGGCTTTACCCCTCCTCCACCATCGGTTGTTTTCACTTGGATTTGCATTTGAGTTTCACAATGTGAATCACCTACAACCTCGGAAACCACATTATCCTCAATAGGTGGGGCAGTTTCAGCTATACGCTCATATTCATCAAGCTTATGTTGGAACTCGTCATAAGCTTGGTCTTCTGGTTCCCCCATATCTGTCTCCTTATTAACAACATACAACTCGTCACCATCATCATCATCCATATCCTCATCAGAATGAAGGTTCTCATCAGGATCCATGATATGTGCACACCTACAGTAAACAAGCAAAGCATGTTGTTAGTCATCGGTAATGGCAATCAAATCTGAGGCACGAAGAAAGACAAACACTTACCCAACTTCTTTGGTTTCATAACAAATTCACATATAATCCTCTAAACAATTCATATATTTAGTTCATATTACATGCTTATACGTTGAAAATGCAAAAAAATAAAACACTTCCTGAAATAAACAAGGTTGTTGGAGCATAAGATATTTAGTAAATAAAGCATGCATCAATAAAAGTACCTCATTCGTGTATTCCCTCATTGTGGTCAATTCGAATATTAGTAGCATCATCATCTACATCAGTTGCTACATCAAGTGTAGGAGCAGTGAAAGGGGGAGAATCATCAAATGCATCATATTCTTCCTCGTCCTCAACCTCTCCAACCCCTAAAATTCTCCTTTTGCCAGCCAGGACGATGGACCATTTTGGATCGGACGGGTCAGTTACATAGAACACTTGCTTAGCTTGAGATGCAAGGATGAATGGTTCAAGACTATCCCGCAAGTGGCCACGATCTACAAGAGTGAAGTCATCATTTCTCACGTTGCGCCTATTATTATCGACCCATTTACACTTGAATAGACCAACCTTGAAGTCACGGTAATCTAGTTCCCATATTTCCTGAATTCGTCCATAGTATGATAATAGTGCATCAACTGGTGATGTATCCTTCGCACTTGCAAACTCTCTTGATGAAGCCACAAGAGAGACACCACTATTCTGAGTCGATGAGGATTTCTGATCCCGACTTTCAGTCCAAAATGTGTACCCATTTATGTCATATCCCTCAAATGAATGAACATCTTCCTTTAAACCATAAGTTAGCCACTTTATTGTATCAGAAACAGTCTCATCCAACTGACGCATCACACGATCATGGAACCACTTCACAAACATCTTATTATGCAACTGCATTAGTGCTCTTTCCCCTTTTGATGGATATTCAACACGCAAACTATCCATGTGCTCTTCTAAATATGGGTGAACCTCCGCAATATGATGAAACACAAATAGGTGAGCTTGCATGATTTGATCTCGAGCAGCCCAGATCCTTTTTGACCCGATTGTGCCATGACCATCAAGTCTCCCTTCATGTCGGGAAGTAGGAAGCCCAATAGGTTCGGCAACGGCAACATACTCTGCCACGAAATTCCCAATCTCCTCGGACACAATTCCTTGTATCATACTACCTTCCGGATGGGCGGGATTTCTTACTTTATCTTGCAGTGTACCCATGTGTCGTTCAAAAGGGTAGCACCACCTCATAAATACTGGACCGCACAACTTAATCTCACGAACCAAATGCAGAATCAAATGCACCATTATGTCAAAAAGTGAAGGTGGGAAAAACATCTCAAATTTGCACAAAGTTACCACAACATTCTCCTAGAGAGCATCAAGTGTAAAGGGATCAAGAACTTTGCTGCAGATAGTATTGAAAAACCCACAGAGGCTTGTTATAACTTCTCTCACGTGCTTTGGTAAAATACCACAAATTGCAATCGGTAGGAATACTTGCATCATCATGTGACAATCATGGGATTTCATACTTGTCAACTTCAATTCTCTATTTAAGGAAACAAACCTTTTCATGTTTGACGAGAACCCAGATGGAAGCTTAATGTTATACAAACAAGCACAAAACCTCCGTTTTTCTTCCTTAGATAATGTGTAGCAAGCTGGAGGTAAATACACCTTTTGGTTCTTTCCTTTTCCATCACCTTTCTTCTTTGTGATACCCGTGGCCTTTTCCTTGCGCTTCCCCTTACGGTTTGACCACCATCTTTGTTTCCCTTTTCCTTAACCTTCGCCATCCCTACCTTAGCTTGAACCCACAACTCCGGACGAACACCCCACGCTTGCAAATCTAACCGCGCACTCTTGCCATCCTTTGTTTTTCCAGGAATGTTCATAATTGTCCCCAAAATTGCATCACAAACATTCTTCTCTATATGCATCACATCGAGACAATGTCTAACATCATGTTCTTTCCAGTACTCAATCTTCCAAAACATTGATTCCTTTTTAAAGAGAGCGTGTAGGTCAATTGGTTTCGTTGTTTTACCAAAAACACATGGAATACCCTTCACTCTTGCATAAACCTCCTTTCCACTCAATGGCCTAGGTGCAACCCCCTCCTCAACTTTCCCATCGAAGGCCTTTTTCTGCTTACGATACGGGTGATCGCGCCTAAGAAATCTTCGGGTCCTCACGTACACATCTTTGCCATAGTGGTCAAGGTACACGTTCGGTGTGTCATCAATACAAATGGGACATGCTTTATGCCCTTTGTTCTTGTACCCGGACAGATTGCCATATGCGGGAAAATAATTGATGGTCCACATAAGGGCAACACGCAAAAGAAACATCTCGTTCTTATGGGCAACATAAACGGTAACACCTTCGTCCCACATCTTTCTCAAATCATCAATAAGGGGCTCAAGGTAAACATCAATGTCGTTTCCACGTTGCCTTGGCCCCGTTATCAAAAGTGAAAGCATTATATATTTCCGTTTCATACACAGCCATGGAGGCAAGTTGTAAATCACTAAAAGTACCGGCCATGTGCTATGTTTAGTACTAATAGTGCCAAATGGATTCATACCGTCCGTGCACAACCCAAGCCTTAAATTTCTGA